CCCCGCCGCGCCCGGGCTGCTCGGCGGCTCGCTCGGCGACGTCGGGGTCGGCACTTGAGGAGCCGCACCTTTACTTCGCGCCTGTAAATATAAAACTCGAATAGTGGCTTCTTCGGTAGCAGTCATGACTTTTGCAGTACATTCAACCCGAGCTGCCCACCAGAGACTCGCCATCGTGAAAAAATCATAATAGTGGTGAGCTCTAGAGTGATAAAAAACAAAGAAACCTTGGAACGCCGTTTTCGCGCTGCCGTTGTTGCGGAGGTGTCGGAGGAAGCGGAGGGTGCGGGCGCGAGAGGGGCGGCGGGCGCGAGGGTCGCGGGGGGCGGCGGTTCGGCCCCCAGCCGGGCCGCCAACAATGTGAGCAGTTCCTCCACGCGGCCCAGCTGCATCCAAACGTGTAAAACTTTACGGAATTTTTGATTAAAAATGTGGCAGCGGTTAATGTTTTATAATTCTTGCGGAGCGAAGCTTGCCCGGATGATTGTTGAACGTCTACTTTAGTGAAAAAAATGCACAAAAGAAAATGAATAACATAGTCTCATCACCTTCTGCTGCATCCGTTGCACCTCGTTACGAACGTCGCGGCGTAGCTCGGCCATTGCGGCCTCGTGCGCGGCGGTGGCGGCGGTCGCAGCGGCGGTGGCGGCGGCGGCAGCGGCGGGGGGTGCTGCGGAGGGGGCGGGTGTGGTGGGTGCAGGGGGTGTAGTGGAGGCGGGGGGCGCGGCGAGGGGGCTGGGGGTGGCGCGCTTGTCGTCCGTCTCCTCGTCGATGGCGTCGCGGCGCGCCACGGCCGCGCTGAGCACGCTGGCTGCACGCCCGCGGCCGAACGCAGCCTGCGAGTATTACTAGATCAGTATATTCATTCATTTATTTACGGATATGAAAATTCGTATTAAGAATAAGTCAACAATTTACTGGATACGCGGCACTGACTCGGAGGCGGCCATAGAAAGGCAGTGACCGTGTGCTGACATCCTACGACGGCTGCGACAGCGGCCCTAGCCACCTGCCACCTTCCACCTGCCGTCGGTACTTACATTTCCCCTAAGCGACATTGATCCCCGAACAATCCGTCTAAAATGTAATAGTATTATGGCCCGTCTTTGCGGTCTTTGTGTACAAGACGGTTATTTTTATGTTTGCACTGTTGAATTTTGTTATAATTTACAGTGTATCATATTATATTATAATAACATGACTATGACCGCCGAATGCTATTAAAACGGTGATCGAGGCGTCCGCACCGCGACCTTCGCTGGTGACGTACGGGTATAGAATGCCAGTACATGTGTGTACCTTGAGTGAGACGGGCGCGGCGGGCGGGGCCGGTGCCGAGGCGTCGGACGGCGGGCGGTCGCGTGCGCTCAGGCTGCGCGTGAAGGCGGCACGCGGGGCATCCGGCGCGTCCAGCGACCCGCCCGCCAGCAGCCGGCCCCACTTGCCGCGCGCCGCCCCCGCCCCCGTCCCGACTCCGGCCCCCGCCCCCGCCCCCGCCCCGGCACCGACTCCCGCCCCCGACCCTGCGACGCCCTCTCCGCGCTCCGCGTCGCCTCCTGGGTTGATGGCGTTCGCTGTAAAACAATCGTTCCACTTTTTCACTTCTTTTGGACGACGGTTTTTTTCGTCCCGTGAGGGTCAAGATCTGCGGTTATTTTGCCGTCAGTGTTTTTATCGATAAAACCCGACAAGTGCTGTCGCAGGATAAGGCGGCGCGTGCGTTGGTCTCGGGGTGAGGCCAAAGAGCACCGACGACACGGTTTACTCGTTTTCAATACTTTAAAGTACAACTACTGACCGGGAGGGTGTGCGGCGTCGGCGGGTGCGGCGGGCGCTGGGGATGCGGCGGGCGCGGCGGTGGCGCGCGGGCCCGGCGCCGCGGCCACGCTCCGCTCGCGCCGAAACCGCGAGAATATCTTGCGCACGAGGTGGTCCTGCGCCTGCTCCAGCTGCGGCTCGCGCTTTCGCCGCTCCATCAGCTCGCGCTCGCGGCGCACGTCCGCCACCTGCACACAGAACACACCGCAAAGCGCGGGAGAGTACAGAACGTTTGCAGAGCGGCTGGAGCGTGCGGCGCGGTTACCTTGCGGAATATGAGGCGGTGACGCAGATTGTAGGTGAGCGTAAGGTTGCGCGCGAAGCTGTTGGCGAAGGCCTGGTAGAAATCGAGCACCTCGAGCAGTCTGTCGCGCTTGATGGTGTGCAGGTCGCAATAGGTGAGGGCGCGCACGTTGGCCGCCGATTGGCCCACCGCTGTGTCCTTCCAAAACGAGTCCCCGAACACGTCACCCTTTCCTGCGATATTTCCTTATATTTACACGAACTGCCTTAGTGATTAAGTACCTCCTATTAAATTCACAAATGTAAAAAAAACTCATGTCGCTGATCATGAAGATAGTAAAGTTGTGTATCGCTTCGCTGCGTACACTTCGCTGAGAATGGTGGAGACCTCGCCGCCCGCGGCCGCGCGCCTCCTCATTATATTTTGATGGCTAGTGTCAGAAGATTATATTTCTCTGTTTTTAACTTTTTTTTGTACGTACTCACGACTCACACAATCACATGACGCGGCGGCGACGATGGCAGCAATGTGTTCTTGCACCGCGAGCTCATTTGAACATAGCTTTTATTTTCGGGCAAAATATGTTTTATCCTTTCTCCACGTTCTCCACACGTGAATCGATGTGGTAAGCTTTTGATGGTAGTCGGCACCCGAAATAAAAGGTAATAAGCAACTAACAAAGATTTGCAAGGCCGCCAGGGTCCTATGATACGATGAATACATCTATGTATTTTTATACCATTGTGAAACATTACGCGCATTTTGGTCGGAAAAAATCTTAGTTTAAAATGTAATGTTTGTAATGCATAAGTCAGCATATAAGGTGTGGGGCTCACCGAGTATGGCGACGACCTCATCGTCCTGGATGACCTCCAGCGATCCGGTGACGATGAAGCACAGCGAGTCGATGGACTCGCCGGTGTGGTAGAGCAGGTCGCCGGGCGCCGAATGCGACATGTGGAAGTGCATGGCGAGCGCGCGCAAGCACCCGTCCGACGCCAGGCGGAAGGCCGGGTGCTCGTTGAACACCTTGCGGTTCAGGTGCACGCAGATGTCTGCCTTCATGTCCTTCGGGCAGTAGTTAAGCACCTGCGACACATACACACACACTTCCGCTAACTCACCTCTCGCCGTCTCTCTCATCACTCCCCATATAACTCGGCTCCTCGTTAACACGCTGAA